GGCATCGCCCGTGGGGAACTTTGTCCTTTTTTCAAGTGGCGTGAAAGTCGCAAAAAAGGGTAAAAAACGCACAGTTTCAGAAAGTTCTTCCAGCGACAGTGATTATGACCTTGAATCTGATTTGGATAAGCCGTCGATGCATTATTTTAGTTCCGACGAGAGCGAGACAGAGATTGACAAAGATTTGGACTTCGCGCGTGTGTGGTTGAAGATCGACGCAAGTAACGTTCCTTGTGCGCCACCTCGATTTTTTTTCGTGGGATCACCGTGATTCAAGGTCCATCTGGACGAATCAGCTGGGGTTGTGAAGTACTTTCCGCAGTATTTCTTTGATTGGGAGATTATCGACCTAATCGTCGAAAAGACCAACTGGTATGCAATCCAGTTTCTTCGGATGCACCACGCTTCTCATTTAAAACCTGGAGAGAGATTGGCAGAAAAGAGCTGATGACGTTCTTCGCCCTGATCATCTTGCAAGATGTCATTGAGAAGCCAAATGTCAAGCTGTACTGGTCGACACGAGAAGTTCTATGGTTTCCTGTATTTGGGGACGTGATGGACAGAGATCTCACACTGATCATGAAGTTTCTACACTTAACCGATAACGAGGCACCAGTCGATGGGCACGTAAACTTAAAGCTTTGAAAATTTTGGCCCGTGCTCACCAGACTTACCGAGAAGTTTCAGACTCCTTACACGATGGAGCGAGATGTGTCCATGGATGAGAGCTACCTTCGCTTCAAGGGCAAGTTATCATGGAAGCAGTACATGACTTTGAAACATGCCCATTTCAGCGTAAAGGTTTTTGTTTTATACGAGTCATCAAGTGGACACATTTGGAACATGCTTATGTACACCGGGAAAGGTGCTCTTGTTGATAATGCATAAGTAGCCATGGATACACGCGTGCTACTTTCCCTTATGAGTCCCCTTCTCGATTTGGGCCACTGTGTAACCGTGGACAAGTATTACGACTTGCCTGAACTAGTCGAAGCACTGATTGAGCACAAGACACATGTGTATGGGACAGCACGACCTGGTTGCAGGAACATGCCAAACTTTGCTACAAAACAGCTCCAGAAGGGTCATACATATGCTTATCAGAAAGGCAAGTGTCTATCACTTCCATGGAAGGATAAGAAGGTCGTAACCTTCCTCAGCATGCTGCACTTTGTGGGAATGGTTGATGTAACAAACAAGAGAGGCGAGGTGGAGTCAAAGCTACTCTTAGTGATGGAATACAACAACACTATGTGTGGTGTTGACTAAAGCGACCAAAACTTGTCCTACTACCCTTGTGCAAGGAATGGACAAAAATATACAAAAAGGTGTTTTGCCATTTGCTGGAAGGGCCATCTATAACGTGTTCGTGGTCTACCAGAAGAGTGGTGACAGTATCATGCATCTTAAGTTACGGGTCAAGTTGGTGGAAGCACTCATCCAACAGAACTGTGACCTTCAGAGCCGACCTCAAAAAGGTAGACCCCCTGACAACAGCCTGTCGAGTCTGATGGAGCGACATTTTCCCAACTATCTGTTACCAACTGAGAAGAAAGAGCCCGACAAGAAAATGCGTCGTGTGCATGAAATAAATAAATATTATTAGGTACGTACTAAGCATGCCATAGCATGCTTAGTACGTACCACACCAAGACAAACTTCTAACACTCGGAAACAAGTCTGAGCTTGAAGTCTTGGAACAAATTAAGCTTAGCACTATAGGAAAAAAAAAGACTCCCTTATTTGTGACTGTTTTATGTTGATGTTCAGCCAAACATTTTGTGAGCATGTGGGTGGTATAAAACTTCATTTAAGCACTGAAGCTCACTTTTTCATATTTTTGCATATTTTTGTTTAATTTTTTAACACATGTTTTTGGTAAAATATTGCTTATGGTGTCACTCTGAGAACCATATTAAACACTTCCTACCACTAAAAATATCAGGATTTTGGGCATGTTTTTTCAGAATCATTACAGTATTGAAAGGGTTAAACAAGGAAAGCAACGCTTTAATCGACAGCGGTAACAATATAAGAGGAGGATGGTTGTCTAGGTGTGAGCCTATAGGGATGAGGATTTAAAGTGTTGATAAGAAGTAGTGCAACTAACCTTCACCCCAATGGCCACCCTACTTGACTGGGTAACACTAAAGACTCTGAGTCATGAAATAGTAGCGCCAAGCTCCCTGCATGGTCGCCATGTTGATTTATGGAATGAGCAGTTTCTCCTTGGGGGACCTTTCCGTTCTTGGTGAGCCGGTCTACATTTGTGGCGTCAGGTTGCTTTCTAAAGGCATTTTCTGTTTACCGAGATTTTTTCTTGTACACATCGGCGAAACAAGTATGAATATTCACAATCGGCATGGTGCTTGGTGGCATTGAAAGATAATTTTTCTGTCTTGGAATAGACAAGAAGGACAATATCATTGTAAGGGATCTGTGGAGACAAGCTTGAATGATAAGTTGATTTCATACACAGTGCCAAAGACGCTCATCTTGACAAGGAAAAGTTTCAGTACTATGACGCTCTATAACAATCTTGGCACAGCTGATTTAGAATGATCCTTTCAAAACTTCAAAAATTTTAAAGGACCTAAGTGGTGATTGCCATGGGAACAGAGACTGATCAGTTAATCGCCTTGCAAAGTTTTGGTCGTCTGTGTGTTAGTACCTGTGTCCTCCTAGCAGGCAGGGCAGCTCAATAGCACAACTTTCCCAGGATCCGGTGACCCTAGGTACGAATGCCCCTATATACTGAAAGGTAGCATTAAAAGAACTTTGAAGTTTTCAACTCGGAAAGCTAAAATAACCGCTTAAGCTGCTTGGCGCAATACCAGCTGAGGCAACCAGATTATTCTGAATCGATATGATCATACATTTTCTCCTACATCTTCAATGCCAGACATTGGACTTGAAGCCTTAGGTTCAAGACGTGTTGTGGAACAACTAAAGCTGCTACACAAAATAGTGAATAAGAACTGTGTAGTTATTTGAGAAAAGTATATTGATTTCATTACTCAATCATGCACTCGCAGCTTCCATCCTCTAGATGTTCTACCGTATACATGTCACCTCACATGTTTTAAATATTCTTTTTTCCCGAAAACCATCAATAGTTAAAACAGCATTGATGGAGCTATTCATTCACTTGAACTTGAGAAATTTATATTATAAGTGTACTAGGTTTTTGTTGGTATATGTTGTTGTTTTGTTGAGGCATTTTTAATTGCTGGTATTGTTTTCTAAAGGGTGCATACTTCATACAATTTATTGTGTTGTATTGATGTGCAATGTATTCTTTTCCACTCCTGCAATAGCCCTTTTTAAAAAAACAGAAAAAAAATTTTTTTTAACAGTTTGGTTGGGACACATGTGTTGAAAAATGAATTTTCAGGGGCCCTGTAAGGTAACAACATTTTGAAATAATAAATAAATTCCTCCTCCCTCTGCGTTTTTCTCTTCTCCATTGTGGATGATCCTCCTCACCCTCTTTCCGCGCTATGCCCCTTGCCGCCATTTTCATGTGAAGCCCACAAGGTGCGTGCCTATGTGTGCCGGGCCGTACTTGTTGCTATTGCATCGGTGGACTAGAGAATTTTTTTCTTTTTAAATATGAACACAGTTCTGTTTTCTAACCTGAGAAAACTAGCGTTTGTACACCTTTATTGGAGTTTAAAGTACCGGAAGCTGTCTTGATCGACAAATGCAGCGATGTGATTTCTGTGCCAATTGTGCCAAACTGCGCCAAGGGGCTAACTCTGCTACACCCTGCTACATTTTGCCAAAATATGGGTAATCTGCGCCAAGCCTGCACCACAAAACCCATTTTGGTCGCCTTTCAAAACCGAAACTAAACAGAGTACAGTAATTGAGCATGCGTGTGTTATATGGCGCAAATGACCGGCCAGTCACAAAGTACCCTGCATCAATTGTCCATGTATGAGGGGGAGGGGGGAGAGGAGGCCCCAGCAAAATGGAAGATTTCGGGGGGGGGGGGGGGGGGGAGGGGGGAGGGAGGGAGGGGTGCCCTCGCCCCCTATGATACAGTGCCTCAAATACTTGTCTCCTTGGAGGCAGTCAAAGCTTTTTTGACCGATCCGGTGGAGCCATTGTCTTCGTAAACTTGGGGAAGAAAACGAGAAAGGACGGACAAACACAAACTTCCTCAAGTTTACTATCCATACCAACCCGCTCGTTCTGTCCCTACATTGTCTTCGTTGCTGAAGATTTTTTTTTTTTCCGTTAGGTGAATAAAAAGCTTCCCTTTTGCAATGCTGTTTGTACAATCCACATTGCAGCAAGATGGCATCGCGTTGTTTCCGAGGTCATGGTACAAAAAAAAAAGTGCAACCTATGGCGGACTGTAAGCAACGGAGTCACCGCCATACCTCGCACGAAAATGGTGCCGATTCAGAGCAGACGACCGAATTGTGCGGGATTATGGGAAGGTAACAGTCATGTGTTGCACCCAGTCCAACTAAGCAAGGGGAAAAAAATATTTGTAGATGAGGGGCATGGGCGAGGAGGAATTTCTCTTCCCCATTTCAGAGAATTGTTCACGCTACCTTTTAGTACGTAGGGACCTTAGGTATCACGGGTGGACTACCTGACTTTCGGAGGACTGTAGTCAAGCCCACTTTTTTTGTGTTGCATGGCCCAGCCACTTTACGAGTTACCAGCAAACCATCATAGATACATTGTCTATGGCAGATGACCTAATACCCAGCTGTACTTGCCAGTCAGCAACAATACACAATTTAATTTCCATGCAAAGTAGCTCTCTTAATTGTCTTCATTTCAAGGTTGTTACTTCCATTGTTACGTTTTGCTATAACCTAACGAAGGGATAGGGAAGTGCTAACATTAGAATACTTTCAGTTCTCTGTTTTTGCACTGTTAATTTTCCTACCAAAGATCTTTTTTCTTCACCGTTGACTGAAAAACAGTGGCTGTGTGTTATCCTCCCATTTTTAATAATTCGTCCTTTTTTTCACTCGCAGAAAAAGAAATCCAAATGGCCCAAGGTCAAAAAGCGAAAGAAGGCTGCACGAGATGTGAATGCTCCAGAGAAGCCGCTCACAGGATATGTTCGCTTCTTGAATGATAGACGTGAAAGAGTGAGGGCAGACAACCCAACTGCTAATTTCCCGGATATCACCAAGATTTTGGCAAATGAATGGAGCAAGCTGGAACCAACGGACAAGCAGGCAATTATGTTTTCAGTTTCTTCCTTTAGAAAATTGGAAGATTTATAACTTTCTTAGCTTGTTAAAAATGAACACAATCTGAGCTATGAACTGTGACACACTTTTTTTTTTAGCTCGGCATACTTTTACTGGTTTTATTTAGAAAGGGAAAAACATTTTTTTAATGTATACTATGTGTAAAAGTTTACCTTTCTTTCCAGTGATATATGTGATGTCTCCATTCAAGCCAAGACCATATGTTCTTTGGTTTGCTTTTCTCTTTGTGACCACAGCACAGTTACTGTATTGTAGCATAGTAACAAGTGATGTTTACGCCAGTGGTGCCATTGCAAAGAGCAAGCAGCTACCATATGAAAGCGTGGCGATCTGTAACTTAAATGATTATGGCTTAAAATGCAATGACAAGATACATACAAGAAGTATAGCAAGGCAACATGCACAACATAAAAGGAAGAAACAAGTATGATGAAGCAGATATTGACGGGCTCTAAACGGCCTCTTAACAGAACAGGGAACATTGAATTTCACTGGTCATCTAAATTGGGCTTACTATATTGGATTGTAAAAACCGCGCATGCATTAAAAAAAAAAAGCATTACGTAATGTGCATTTATATTTTACAACAATTATGATTTCCAAAAATGCCCTCTCAACATTTAAGTATAAACTGCATGCAAGTGATTTGGAGAGCGATGAGACAAGCGATGGCAACCTGCTTCGCTGTCACTCGGTCAGTCGCACGATGAGTCAAATCGCTTGAAAGCGATGAGAGCAAGCGACCAAGGTGATAAGCAATGCGACAAGTGACAGTGAGAAATCCCCGTTGCTCGTTGCTGACTCTCGTCACTGTCGCTGTTGCTTGTCTTGTCGCTCGCTAAATCGCTTTCATGCGGTTCAGCCTTTACACTCACAACTGGCATGCTGATTGTGTTTAATTAGTAATTAACTAATTCAGTAATTAAGTTAGCTTAATTAAGCTTCAGTAATTAAAGCTAGCCAATCAGTTTAATGTGAGTGCCAAGAAGACATTCAGTACCATATTCAAATGCACTGCATACCCTTCACAACACTCTGGTTTCACTGCTTTAATCTCGTCACTGGCTGCGACAGCAAGTTTAAAAATACCCTTATTCATTTCAAAGCTGTGAAACATTTCAGACAATGAAACAATCCAAACCCTATCTTCAAAGGTCGGCAAACTTGACACATAAAACTCCGTCACAAAAGAGGGCAGGAATTTATTCCCCCAAAACAAGTATAAACACTACCCTAAAAAAGGCTGCTTGCTGTTGATTCCTCCCCCACCCAGAATGACGAAGGGCAATCCCGACGATGGGCCGACAACTCTATAGTGACGTGTGTCATGAGGTCACACAATGGCAAACACCCTCTTCTCCTCAACTGTATCATACTGCTCTTCATTTCCATACTGCCTGTTTTCAGTTCACATTAGAAAAAAGTAATTTGGCATATCTCCATTGGCTTGTTTGGTTTTTGAAAACAGCTAACCCTTTCTATCGAAATTGGCTGTACTATGAGAAGTGTATTTTGAAAACATGATTCAAGTATGCCGCCACAATTTGGCTGTGCCCTGCTGAGTGTACATTGTGTCTCGCATGGATAATGCAGAAATACCTGGATGAAGCGGAAAAAGACAGAGAGCGATACACTAAAGAAATGGAGCAGTATCAGCAAACGGAAGCCTATAAGCTTTTCACAAAAAAGAAGCACGAGAAGAAAACAAAAGGTACTGGTGCATGCTTTCTTGCCACTTTAAAGATTGAGGGCCAAGCGGGTCACTTAATGGAGCATACATTTATAAAGCCTAGGAATGCTAAGAGGGTTCATTTGAATAGAATGTGAAGAAGTTTGGTTTTTGTATGATTGGCTTCCTATGTTCAATCTTCATATCTGCTTGTGGAACAAATGCTGAAAGTTTTATGTTATCTTTATTGTTTCTGTCTTAAGGGGATACTTAATTGAAACTTATTATATGCAAACTATAGTCGAATAGGATCAGTAATACCTGTAATTGATAGTTGCACACATACATTTGAATGGGGATAGCTATATCCTTCTAAATGGCATAGTTTGGCAAACGCTTCAAAATCAGCCATTGAAGAACGCGTTGCGCCTCGGGTAGCATACTGTAGTTATGAGCTTTGCCATGTGGTGGCATCAGTGTGTTACAAGCACGTTCAGCTGAAGTACCTGAGGATTGAACGACCACACCATTTCATCAATCCCAACGTCCTAATCGTCTCACTGCCACCACCGCGTTTGCAGAGTGCTCGAGCTGCAGGCTACCTGTGGTTGTGCATGTAGAATACCATGTCAACACAAAGATTATTACTAAAATAACGAGCTTTGTCCACAACGTGTGCATCGGCTTGCTTGTAGCGAGGTCACAGCCAAGTGATTCGATTATCCGGTCAAGCCATGCTGTTGGCATGTCTACATACCACTTCAGTGCCTTTGCACTCTGTTTGTAGTAGAAGTCTTCACTACAGAAGTGATTGCTGCACAAGTGTGGGATCCAATGAACGGGTAATACAAACAGCTTCGGCGTCTCAAGATGGTTGGTACACTACATTGCTGCCGCAGTCCTCTGCCACAAAATGGCAAAATAGCGCAGAATGTTTGCAAACATTTGATCCATCCAACGAAGCAAACAAACTGAAGGAGACGACCTCGCGGCCATTAGCTTCAGTCAAAACGGGAATGGCTTGTCAATGCCGCTTGCAGATGCAGCCTAGTATGGCCTATTCAACGGTTGCATTCTCCGCCAGTCTCTCACGTTTGTGTACATGCCCAATTTGTGTATATTAGTACGCCATACCCCCGCAACACAGCGCTGCCCCTATGAGGCCAATGACATAAGGACCCTCCAACGAAGCTTCAGAGGCATCCATCCACTGGGTGAAATTAGCTTATGTTTTAATTTGGTTTAAAGTATCTTTTCTTCCACTTTCCAACGAACAACTGGTGTTTCTGAGGTCTTTGTTCTTGATAGTCCATATTTAGGCAAAGAAATAAACACTAAAATTTTGTTTCCATACCCTTTTAATGAATTGTAGTCTACCTTGAGGCATATAACAATGCACCTTCTTTCAGTAAGCTTCTGCACATGCGTACACGACCTCCCCTGGCCTTGCTTCCCACTGTCATCATTTTTGCAGAGCAAAGTTCTGGTCGACCAACATATTCAACACCTATCTTTGTGCATATTTAGTCTTTTTTGGCGATTCTTGTTTGAGTATACGCTAGCATGGGGTACATAAAAGGCGGCGAATATCAACACAATGGCACAGTGCCAATGTATTCTGACAGGCGGAGGCAAGTTGGGCTGCCCTTCATTTGAAGTTCGAAGACAACTACTGAAAAAAGGTCCATTTCCTTTGAATTAGTATAATATACCAAGTAAGCTCTAATGTCAACTGGAAAAAATGGCACTATTTTAGCTGTTTGATTTGTGTTTCTTTTATGATTCCAACAAATGTTTGTTTGGGGCTCATGATTGCGCTCTGTTGTTTTCAGGAGTGGAGGAAACAGCTGCAAATGGACCAGCTGCTGAAGTAAGGAACCTCCTTTCTCTTCTTTAATGTTGATTTTTTTACTTAGTAAGTTCAAGCGGTACTACATCGTAAATCTGAAATGTTTGGAAGAATGGTGTGTTGTACTTGCTCCTTGTTTTTTAAGTTTTTAACACACTAACCAAATACCAAATTGTAAATTTTCCATTTTTTTTAATTATGGTACTTGCATTTTTTTGTTGCCTGTTTGCAGGGATGGGCAAAATACATGCAAATATGTATCAAAATACAAATACAAAATACTTTGTCAAAAATGTATTTAATTACAAATCTAATTACATTTACAAATAAGTATTTAAATACAAGATACAAATACAACCAAATGTATTTGGTCTCCTCCAAGTACTTTTTCAAATACATTCCTCAAAATCTGCGTCAGCGACTTCAAGGCACCTGCAACGGGTTTCTGGGCATCGCATTATAATTTTGCATTGCACACTCGGGAGCTAGTGTGCGAGTCTCTAGTAACGTAATAGAAATATGATCACAAAAAAACATAATCAGCCTGGACGTAGTAGGTGAAAAAAGTACAGAGCTTCAAGCAGCTTTTTTTGTCGATTACATTTTGGCATAGACCAACAAAGAACCGAGACGACCAAGACGCGCAGCACTAGCTAGAGAATTTTTTATTTGCAACTCGCACCACTTACAAAAATCTGGACGACCCCCGCATTTAGAATGTTCCAGGCAAAAATATGGAGGGAAATCAGGCTGGAAAGCATCACAAGTTGTCACAGGCACTTATTTAGCCAGTCTGCCTGTGAACGTCGATTTCGTCGCAATTCTTGCCCTGGACTAGCACCGTAATCGCAAAGTCACCAAACGCTTGTGCTTGATAGAGAGACACCGCATTCGGTGCAGGACGTAGTTTTCTTCCTGCTCTGGACAGTGACAATAAATTTGAGTAATGTATTTTCTCCCACAAAATTGTATTTAATTACAATTGTATTTGAAATACCCATGTTTTAGTATTTAAATACACACGTCAAATACATTACCCAATTTGTAATTAAATACAAATGCAAAATACACAAAGTATTTGAAATACGTATTTCAAATACTTGTATTTGAAATACTGCCCATCCCTGCCTGTTTGTAATGTTGAAGGATCGCAAAGAGTGTTCGTTTCTCTGATTATGCATTACTTTGAGATTGCAATCTTTAGCCATATGTTTTAAGGCCTCACTCCACAGCTTTATGCTTTATCTCATGTCCATCAAAGCAGTTCTGTGCGGAAGTAAGAATCGGTGCTGTTGCAGTTTCTTGAGTTCCTTGGGTTCCCTGAAACGGGGCACAAGACTCGGAAAGCATATGAAGAATGTGAACAAAGCAGTGCATCTTACCTTTTCAAAGCCAGCTTGTTGAACGTGGCTGCGAGACTTAACATCCTTTCAATTTTGAGTGCACAGGGGGGTTGGGGCCTATGAAGAATGCTATGCTGGGCAGTATCTCGTGTAATCTTAGTTTGTTTATTGCATTTTGATCTGCTGTACAGACCAAACCGTGGTAATATAGCGAGCACCTCAGTCTTCATTCATTGATTCATTCATTCATCTTTATTAGCTGAACTTGAGGTACTCTGGGTGGCTCGCAAGGCTAGGCAGATAGGCGGGGGCCCGCACACGGGAGCGTCTGCTAGCCAGCCACCTAGAGTTTGTGCATTGTGCATTGTGCAGCTTGTGATGATGCTTGCATGAGGGCCCAAAGGTTTTTATTGAAATGTTATCTTGCTAGGTGAGCCCAGTATCATTCTCAGGGCATGCTTTAACAAGCAGTAAATTTTCGTATTGAGAGATATTGCGAGGATTATGTAAAAGAAGCCCTCAAATAAAGTGATGAGTGAATTGGTGAGTGACTGTAGGTTACCAGAAACCCTCTTTGTTTCATTTCTAAGCATGATGCCAGCTGCATGTGACCAGTGCTCAGATTACGGCAGTTGCCCACAATCAAATGTTTGCTCTACCGGATCAGTCGTACTGCAGAAAGAAAACAGCGGAAGCTTTAAATCTGCAATGATGTTTCGTATCGTACTCTGCATGCAGGCAGCGAGTGAAGACAGCCGGAAGGACGACGGCCTTGGCTTTGACATTCCAATATTCACGGAGGAGTTTCTGGATCACAACAAAGGTACTGCAACTTGGCTGCTCTGATGTCTGCTTTATGCTCATTACTTAGTGCTCTTTTCAGGCACCTTGTAGAAATAAGACTCCTGCTTATGTTTGCTCCTCCGAGGGCCTATGTCACTGGTGGCCAGATTGTGGCTCTTTGCGGGTCTAAGTGTGGCTTGCAATTCCCTAGTGAGCATACCCCTCCCCCCCCTCCCCCAATAATCTCTCTACCACGCATTCATTGACCGTCTTTATTACCGGTCAAGCCTCTTATATTGTTGCGAGCTCTGATAAACTGGCTCTGCATTTCAACTGTGGGTGTAAGCAAGGCAGCTTGTACATTTTTTTTTTCTGTTGAAACAGAGAAGCGAGTTTAATGACTGAAAAACACTATAGACCAACACACTGTTTACAAACAAGCCCACATTTACCCAAACTAGTTTTGGGCACTGTGCGTGCACAAAAAGCCAGGTTGGAGTGAGATAAAGCGTCTGCCCTGTGTGCAGTGCCAACAGCAGCGCCATTGCTGTGGCCTGACATCAAAGAGTTAAGTTGGAGTATAAGATTCTCAGTGTGGCAATGGAACAGGGCTCTTGCATGCACGCTTTTATCGTGGTATGTGCCCTTTTGCTTTCAGCAGCAAGTGTAGCAAGCAACAAGCAAGTCTAAGCTGGGGAGGCCTCCCGTTCTTAAAGGGGCCCTGCAATCATATTTAAGCGTCTACCTTTTTTGCGGTTTCCACGTCTCTTGGGCTTCGGGCAAGCCAGTGGGCACGGAGAGAGTAACTAAATATCAGTGCGTCATATTTTAACCAAACTACGCGGAAAACTCCTCCACTGACGAGGGCGACCCGCGGTACCAAAAGCGCGCAAAATGTGACGTCTTTGGTCCTCGGCTTACCATTGGTCAGAGCCGCTAAATGCTTCTTTTTAGTCGAAATACAAAATATAAGTGGCGCGAACCGTTTCAGTTATTTATAAAAGTAGTTTCTGTTCAGTATTTTAGATCAAAAAAGAAACGAATGCAGTTCATAAAGTACCGAAACAAGAAATGACCCGTCGACATACCCGCCACCAAGCGGTGGAAAAGACGGCGCATACTAGAAAGGAACAGTGGGATCAGGCGCCGACACTAAAAGGTCCCGGATGTACGCGGCGACCGGCTCCGAGCGTTCCGAAGGCCTTCGGCGAGAAGCTTTGTCTTGCGGTTTGGCTGTTTCACGGTATGGCAGCGCAAAGCAGCTCCCATTCTAAAGTGATCTTTACCCTGTGTTTGCTGTCTTTTGTGGTCGATGAAGTGTCATGCCGAATGAGTATTTAATCGCGCAGAAAATGCAATGAGGGCCGCTCTGGCTGCCCGCTGCATACAGCCTATCCAGAACACGCTTTAATGGCGCCCTCTCGCACCGTCGACACGGAGTGCGGCAGCCGTGAGCACTCAATGAGCTCACTACTTCTCTTCTAGTTCACGGCCACTCTGAAGCAACCAAGGACGTCATGAGGGAGGTTATTTTTTGCTTGTTTTTGTAATTTTAATTTGCTTATAACTTTTAAAATAAAGGGAATTTCGAGAAAAGAAAAGTTTTACTAAGTTACTATGTTCAGTGCGCTCAGGTTCGGTGCAAATTAAAAATTAGTGAAAAAGTCATTGCAGGGCCCCTTTAAAGAGCTCCTAGAGCTGCATACTGCACTTTTGTGACATTGCGCATAGCACCGCCCAGACTGCTTTGCCCGTACCGGGGAAGCGCGCTCGCGTGTCTCCTCCCAAAATTCTTATGGCTACATCGAACCAGCCAGATAAAGGGCATCCGGGTCAGTGAAATAGTGAGCAGTTGCGTCATGGGTGGAATTCTCTATGCCTACCACAGTGATGTGATTTCTGCGCCAATTGTGCCAAACTGCACCAAGAGACTAGCCCTGCTACATTTTGCCAAAATATGGTTAATCTGCGCCAAGCCTGCGCCAAAGGACCAAATTCGGTCGCCCCTCGAAACCAAAACTGAGTACCGTAACAGAGCATGCGTGTGTTATGTGGCGCAAGCGACCGCCCGACGCAAAGTGCCCTGCATCCCGTCTTGCATGGTTTTCCCGCCGTCTCGCGTTTCGCGCTCTCGTCGTCTTGTGGGTCTCGCCTCGTGTCTTTTTTAAAATATTTTCAACGATAGACGCGGGTGTGTGCAGACGCTTCGATGCTAGTGTGCCGGGTACCAGCCACGCAATCATGCTGTGAAACAAAACTATGTTTTTGCGTGGCAAGAGTTACTTTGTGAGCTGAAGCACTTGCTCCTGAAAGCAAGGGCCATGGGAAAACTATATTTGGTCCCTGGCTTCCAGTCACCGTGGTCGTGCGACGTCGGGTATTGCCGTCCCCACGTCGCTGCAGATATGGCGCTTTCGAAAATAAAACTAAGCACCGCCGCATGTGCATCAACATTCCTGTCCTTGTTCAGATCGTACATTACTACAGAAATCCCTCTTTAAGTCAAAGACTGCTTTGTCGAAGTATTGATTACCTAGGTTTCTCTCAGTGGGCTTTCTTTCGAGAGGGACCCCGGTACGTGAAAAATTACCGCGAAAGAAAGTTGGTGAAGAGAAGTGAGTTAAAGCAAAGAAGACAATGTCTGCACGCTGAACGCCAACAGCGCCCTTGTAATGGTTGCGGTTTCAATCGAACAGCCGTTGTCTCCTCTCGCCCGACGAAGCACGCGCAACTGCAAGCCTGCCGAAGTTTCCCTCACGTGCATGCGAACATGATTGAACGACAGAGGCACCAGCCAGGATGTGTGCAATCCATTGTTTTACGTTTGCTTACTTTTGACGAAAATCTGGCATGTCGGGAACCAGTAAAATGGTGGCAAGCGGTTTTTCGGAATTGCTCGGCAATGCATACAGCAATGCGCTGTACACTTGTGGGATGTCTCGGCAGTAAAACCACAAGCAGCGAGTTCCGTCACCACAAGTCACGTCAGAGCACAACACAACACGAAGTGCCCTTCGTTTGCACAGCACTTAAAACAAATATTTTGATTTTTCTAAGACTATCTGCTCCAAAAGTCACTTTTGCTGCTCCGAAACATCGTCTTGGCTGCTCCAAAACAGTGTTTTGGTTGCTCCAAAGGCCACATTTGCTGCTCCAAAACACCGTTTTGGCTGTTCCGAAAGGTGCTCCAAAATGGCTTAGGCCAATCACATCACTGCTACCAACCGAGATAAAAGAAATAAAAAAAAGTCTACGTGCCCCCTTTTTACTGTGGCTTCATTTAAAGGGGGGGTGCAACGATTTCCGGACTTCGATCAAAAATTCGTGGAAGTTGCCCTCTGACACTTGTAAAGAACAGAAAACCGATTTTGCCTGCGTGTCCTAGTTGTGTAAAACAAAAGATACCGTATTGGCATTTCTGGCACCCCTCAACTCCCTCCCACTGTTCAGGGTTACACCTGGTCCCACTCATAGTAACGTAATTAGGGGTGAGGTTCCTGTGTGCTCTCTCAGAGGACTCTCCCCTCTCTCTGCTGACATTAGCGGGTGTTATGCTGCAGCTTAGAATCGAGTGATGTCACGTCATCTTCTCGCCATAGGTTCTTTCGGCTGCCACTCACGGCTGCAGGTCGGGGAAAAACTCGACTTTGACTTTGTGGTAATGCAGTAGAATAGCGACATTTTTTTTATGAAGGAAATGTTTTCTCTATCCTCCGAGACACAATAAACAACGTAAAAATGACGAGATGCAAATTCTTTTAATCTTAAAGTCGTTGCAACCCTCCTTTGAGGGGGAACACTGCTCAGAAAAAAACTATTTCTGCAAAAGTTGTTGATTTCGAAAATTTCCATAATTACATCCACCAACACCTAGAGAGTATTCCCAGAAAGTTTCATTAGTTTACACTGGATAGTTAATTTGTTATATATTATTTTCGGTCCACCGATGATAAAGAGAAGGTAGAGGTTAGATGGTGCTGTTGGAATGCATTTTTTCCTGTTACACTTTTTTGCATAAATTTCACCTTACTGACACATCAAAATCATATTTTTTTTGTTATCCGAAATGATAGAAAATGATGCCGGGACATTGCCCTCAAAATTCGAAACTTGGGAATTCAGTATTGGTGAATTAAGAAAATCTTCTGCGAGTCGACTTTCTTTCGGACCTCCGCTCCACGCTACAAAGCAAAGCGCCATTTCCACCGCGACCCGAAGCAAAGAGGAGGTGAGGAGGCGGTATAGAAAGGCGCTGGCGTGGGAAAAAAAACCGGTTTCTTCCCCGACTCGCCGATCATCCTCTGCTAGAGCGCCACCAAGTTTTCCGACGGAGGATACAAATCCAGGAAGCGAAATCACACCGGACTCTGATTTATGGTATTTCAAAAATAGGGGCCGTAGTGCGTTCGAAATTGCGTTAAAAAACCTGATTTACAATTGCCGTTATTAAATGTTATAGAAATGTTGCCTACAAAGCTTCTAAATTTCCTGATTTCTGACGTCACCAATCAAAAGAAGCAAGGAGGTGAGCAGTGGGGGAGAACAGCGGCAAAAATAAAAAGGTGCGCGCTCGTGCAAGGAAATTTTTTTTTACAATGAGTTCTTTTTGTGTGTCTATGACTACAACTTGCATCATTTTAAAGTCTATGACTACAACTTGCATCGCTTTAGACAATAAAAAAAAATACGACCTTTGGGGTGTCGGTGCCCCTTTAATAAAACTAACGTTTCAGTATGAAACTATCGAGTCTTAATATTTGCGGCTTATATGCCGAAATTTTATGGAGCCGGTTACTATTAACTTAGATTTTGGATTTTCGTGTTTCTCTATTAGGAAAAATTGTAATTTGCAAAACTTGGTAAATGCATCAAAAAAGGAAGTTATTTCATAATTTTTATTATATTTAGAAAATGCATATTTTTATAAATTTCTTTTTATAGTAACCAGCAACAGGTTTTTCAGCATGCATTCCACCAGAAAAATATGTGGTTATCAACACCATTCCTCAACGATAGATTCATTGAGCAGATTCCATGCAA